AGAGAGGGAAAAGGGGGGGGGGTATACAGGGAGAGGGAGAGAAATACAGAGTTGATTGAAAAAGAGAAATAAAACGATCCCGAGATATAGAAATCATTTTGCACCTTGACTACAGCCATGGTGAGAAAGACATGGATACGACGAGAATTACCCTCCCCTCCCTCTTTTTTGCAGTAGTCCCTAGATCCATTCCTAGGGCAGGTGGTTCGTGATGTGTATGTTTATAATGACCATGGTCTGTGTTGACTTTGAAACGGATAGAAAGATAATTCGAAAAAGGTGTTTCGTCTGTTTCCATTTTTTCCCTTGCTTCAATCAAATTAGAACCCAATCAACATTTACGGAATGGCTTGGAATCTGACGAGAAAAAGAGACCCACAAAACCTCACAAATGTGTTTACCTATTTGTCTGGCTAGCTATCAATCTTAGTAAATATCACAGTGATCCCTATCCTTCAGTTTATGGGGTCGTATTGTGCAAAGTGGTTTCAGATGACTGGCCGTTACATCAAAACAAGAGGCCTCAACTATATCTAGTCCCGGACAGTGACGCTTAACCGAAAATTTTAAATTACTGCATAATAAGGAAAACATCCCTAACAGGCATGGGCACTTAATATGAGAAATATTACCATGTAAATCGAATACTCACAGCCAGTCCACTTGCTCATACTGTAATCTTTTTTTATTACTCGCGATACCGATTTTATATTATCTGAGCAGATATATTGCCTTGCCGTATTGCTACTTCATACATCACTCTAGCCATTTATACCGGTTTATCTCGTGAGATTCTCGGGTCTTTCATCCAGACCACTATCTCAGTCAGTGAGGCCTGTGGTTTCTTTGCGAGACTAGTGAAGACCCATTGTAATAACTCATAGCCTCTTCCACGGCACGTGTTTTGGATCGGAAAACCGTAAACAACTCTTACGGAGAGCTATGCCATAATGTAGTGCTAAACTGATCGTATTACTCTCCAGCCAAACCTGTCATTCGTCACTATCCTCAATTCATGATGTCATCTTTTCTGCCATATATGATAATATATCCATCGGTTATTTATTATGCTAGATAATCTGATGGACGATGAAAAAGGAGTCATTTGTCATACCTACGAAGTCTGTCTCAGAATACAGTTTCCCTCTTCCATCAAATCAAAAGTACGCACCCAACAGCCATTAAATATTGTGACATCATGACGTCATATCTAAGAAATATCGATACCAAATTGAAAATGCATTGGTGTCTGCGTCATAGAGCTGTGACGTGTCAAGTGTGTTGTTCTTGTACACTTTGTCCAAGGCAAATCAGAGGAAAATGTTAGAGCAAAACATTGATGTAACCTTCTCACGTTACGGTGTCCGAGTTGTAATCAAATTTTCAACTCTTCTCGGCAAGTCTGCAGTTAAAACAAATAGTGATCTATGCAAAGTAATAGATCTATTGAATAATGCCCCATCAAATTGAACATTAAGAAAATGGATCATGGAGGTTGAAATGTGGGAGGTCTGACATGAAAGATGAAGCACACACTGGGAGGGGGGGGGCGTTTGTCACTTGTGGAAACAGTGTAGAGAGAACCAAAGGTGTTGTGGAGCAAGATAAGAGAAGAACACGCACGGAAATAAGTGGTATAGATCTAGTCAGTATGTCCAGAGCAACATTTCACCGATTATCGACGAACGATATTGGCAAAAAAAGAATGTTCGCCAAGAGGGTGCCCCATTTGTTGGCACTAGAACAGAAACAGGTTCGTGTTCAAGCAGCTCGGCTATTTTTAAATTGTGTTGAGCAAGGGGGTTTAGAGTTTCGTTGACGATGAAACTTCGGTGTACTCATTTGATCCCAAGTTGAAAAGACTGTCAGCTCAATGGTTTGATTCGGATGAGCCAAGGCCACAGAAAGAATAAAAAATCAGGAGAGAAAGGTGATTCACATTGTTTTTGTTTTTTTCGACATGAGTGGAATAATATTAAGCTGGCCAGTCCTGCCTGGCGTACCTGTCAATGGTGAATACTACAGGTTTGTCCTCTCAGACAAACTGAGACCTGCGATAGTAAAAAGACCCGCTTTGCTTGAAGAAGGCGTAATCCAGCATCATGACAATGCGCCTGTTCCCAAGTCCAGAGTTGTGAACGAGCTTCACGAGGGCTTCTGGTGGGAATTATTGTAACACCCGCCCTATTCACCACATGCGGCCTCTTCCCCAATGTGAAAAAATGCTGCAAGGTCGGCGATTTGCGGACTAGGACCAGATTCAAGAGACAATGAGATAAACACTCAGGACCTTAGACAAACGATCACTCACCACTGTCTTAGACCACTGGATACATCGAATGGAGAAGTGTCTGGAACTTGATCGTTCCTACGTTGAATAAGTGTTTGAATAAGCTTTCTGTTGACACCAAATAAAACATGATTTTTAATTATACGTGAGGACAGCATGACGGAGAAACTTTATTCTGACACAGATCTCGTACAAGCGAAAATGTCTGCCCGCATTTGGGGTAGAGAAGGAGGAGAACAAATGAAACGAGCGGTTGGAATAAACCAATGGCAGGGAGCAGACGAAAGAGAACAGGCTCGCGTCATGGGATTCTTTGGTGACTAAAGACTAGTCTGGCCTGTGGTAGGGGAGTCAAGAGGGCTCAGTCAAGACGAGGGAGACGAGAGTAAGAAAGGAAGTGAGCCCAGACACAACAGACAGAGGCCGGGAACGGAGAATGCCGAGAGAATAGGAGAGTCAGATCCTGTCCATACTTTACCGTATAGTGCATGGGGTTGTCAAAAACATTCAAAAGGGACGACCAGGAGACCCTAGAAGGGGAGTGGATGAGGGAACGAGAAACGGCGGCAGCCTCAGCAACTCGATGTCGAAAATCCATCAACAATTTGAGTAATATGTGGGTATGTGAGTACGATTATTAATTGTTTCAATATTTTTTGGGGTGTACGTTACTGAACAATGAGCTAACAAGACTTCCGCCCCTACTTTATAATGTTATGCATTTTTCATTAAAGGGAAGCAACAACAAAGAAAACATGGGTACAATTCTAGGTGTGTGTATGTATGTGTGTGTGTGTGTGTGTGTGTGTGTGTGTGTGTGTGTGTGTGTGTGTGTGTATTGAGTTAAAAGAGTTACAAAAGAGAGAAAGAATGATGAAGTCAGAGTTAGTAAAAGAAAAATAACAATGCAAATAAAGGGAAAGATATATAAGAGTTAGAGAAAGATAAAGAGAGTGGAACGGCGAAAAAAATTGGAAAAAAGATTGGAAAATAGAGAGAGTTAAAGACAGATAAAGAGAGATAGAGATACAGACAGACGGACAGACAGATACAGACAGACAGAAAAGGGAGAGAGGAGAGAGAGAGAGAGAGAGAGAGAGAGAGAGAGAGAGAGAGAGAGAGAGAGAAGCCTGAACGACTGCAAAGCATCGTTTAGGCAGTCTTGTCAATTACCCACTTCTGTCAGTGGGGAATCCAGCACGACTAGATGGTGAAGATATTCTTGGTTGTCAGTCGAATTTTGGTTTTTTGATCAACCCCCCTCCCCCCCCCCCACCCAACCAAAAAATGTATATAAAGAACTCCCAACAAATCCAGTGTCTGTTTCGGGAAACAAAGGTTGGCAGTCATGACTACAAATGTTTCCTCCCCCCCTTTCCGCCTTTTCGCACATAATGAACAAGAGCATATTACTAGCCTCCTACTTTTTCTTCGAACTTACAACCCAGTGAATAAGTAGATTTTTACGACCAGGCAAGGAATGTTTAATTCATATTTAGATAACTTCAATCTAAACTTTACGTCTTTATTGCTCCACAAACTGCTTCCCGCGTGTTAACGTTAAAAAACGTCTGCAAGTAGGGTTCAAGGATTGCTTAAAATATATAAACGATAAGCATTAAGTGGGGCATCACGATAAACTGAGTTCAACCGTGAAATACTATTGGCAACGAAAGATATGATACCTGGGATACAGGAGTTTAAATTATGAGGCGCCTTGACTCTAACCAGATTTTATCGTTCTGGAAAAAAATACTTCCCCTGATGGTTATTGCATTCCTCTAACTGTAAAAAAAGTGTGAAGCTTGTCTGACATATTGTAAGCCAAGAGGTCACGAGGTCACCTTCAGAGTTTGCATTTTCTCAGGCAGTAGTTATATTGCGTCACATTCTAATTTTGTTTCTGGACGAGGGGCTTTTGCTTGAAAATCGAGGAAATCAAAAACAACCAAATTCCAAACCTAACTATTCTGCTTGCTTTTTGAATTTCTAGAATGTAGTTATCAAATTGAGCAGATTTTGGAGACCAAATTTTGTTTGAAACCCCGGTTTTTAAAACGAGAAAAAAACGTCGCCTTTCTCGCATGGCGACATACTGACCTACGCGTGGTCTTACAGAGAGCGAAGGCCCCCGGATGTATGAAGTAAACCATGAAGGTTCCGAATTACAAAAAAATAATTTCATAACATTACTTTATTCAACCCACCTAAGGCATATGTGTGGGTGGTTGGCGGGTGCTCGGATGTGGTTTTCTCTTTCTTTCCTGTCCAGCATCTACTGTCCTTATCTCTCCTCCTTCTCTTTTGTGCTTGTTACTCTCTTGTAACACCTCTAATCTTCGCCCCCTTATTGATGCAGTTGTCTTTATTTGCCTTGGTCGCATACAGTGACAATGGTGTTACAAAGGTCCAATTCTGCACTCACCCATGCACACAACAAATGAGAGCACAACTTTTAAATCATTATTACATGTTTAAACCACTCCGCATCATAAACGTTCTCTCACTCTCACCCCCCCTCGTCTCTCTCTCTCTCTCTCTCTCTCTCTCTCTCTCTCTCTCTCTCTTTCTCTCTCTTTCTCTCTCTCTCTCTCTCTCTATTTCTCTTTCTCTCTCTCTCTCTCTCTCTCTCTCACACACACACACACACATACTCTGTCTGTCTGTCTGTCTGTCTGTCTGTCTCTCTCTCTCTCTCTCTCTCTCTCTCTCTCTCTCTCTCTCTCTCTCTCTCTCACTTTCTCTCTCACTTCCTCTCTCACTTCCTCTCTCACTTCCTCTCTCACTCTTACTCTATCCCCCTGTCTATCTCTCAATCTCTCTCGCTGTGTGTCTTGTTCTTTTGGACAACGTCTATTTAACTATCTATCTGTCTATCTACCTATCTATCTATCCATCTATAAGTCCATCCCTCCATCTATCCATCTGTCTATTCTTCTATCTATTGGGATCTGTGATCCATCACTCATGCGTCAGTGGGGGCTAAAGTGTACTTTCACTGATAGGACGATCTTGCTCGTGACGTGCAAGCAAACATATACATGTTTATAAAAGAAATATATTATTTTTAAAAGCTTACCTTGGGGACTCAGGGTACGGCAAAAAGCCCATCTGTAAGCGTTTCTCTTTAACTGCCTGGAATCAGAAACCATTCAGTTCCGTTCAATACACAGTATGAATCTTAGAACTATTGCTATTCTGCCGTCTCAAGACAAACATTCTCTCCCACCATCCCCGAAAAAGAGTAATTGGGACAAAAGAGCGCTTTTACACAGGGAAGAAACCCTTTTTCATGGCGCGTCTTTCTGTCTCGGAGTTATGGAGGTACAATTCAAGTAAAACAAGTTATTGTATTTCGAAAATATGCATTGTGAAATAATTACATATGGATATTGTTATGACTAAATACATTTTAATCAGTCACTCCATAACTATTTACTCTATAGCTCAGAAAAGCAGACAAAACCTACATCGGCCAATGCATATTGACATAAAATAATCAGATAACCAAATTTTAATCAAATTGAAACACACATACAGTTACTTTTTTGCCTCTCTTGTAAAATTTCATCTTTGGCATAAATATGCCTATATGCTTTTCTGTCATAAGACAACAGTATTGTAATGATCATGTTTGTAGTTGTTGTAATAATTGTTCAATGCACATTCAATACATTTGATCTACCAGAATAAGCAGAGCAGCGACTACACTGATGATACCGATGATCGCGACAACGAACACAACGAAGGACTTGATGCGGTGGTCGAAAGCCGCTCTATCAGAAACAGATGGCTTGCTCTTGGCGTGTGTAGCGGCAGCCACTGGCACTGATGCTGTCGTTGAGACTGGGCCTGTGTCTTAAATTGAAAAGAAGAAAGATAATGAAGAGATAAGGGTCTTTATGTCATTGTTGGAGGGTTAAGTCCTAGAGTAGACGGACAACACATAGAAGGAAGAAAAAAGAAGGGCATTTAGGAAAAACCAGTTATATCATATAAACTAAATTATAAGCAAGAAACTAGAAAATAGACTAAGAGTTCATTACAGCTCCACGACTTTTCTCAGGTTCTGCAACGTGTTAAACAACGTTATCCCTTTTCCCGTCATTTAGACTTTACACAGTACGTGCTTATGCCAAAATTCCGCGTCTTTCAACATCTTTACGAACGTAGAACGATCAGACAAACAAGTGTATTATACAAAATAATAATTATATATATATATGGAGGTATATAGGTATATATATATATATATATATATATATATATATATATATTATATACTAGAACAGTCATGTTTATAGCCCTATTGATTTTTTAAAAAGAAGTTAAAGCAAATCCTCACCCCCCAACAAAAAATACCCGACAACTGATGGCAAGGTTTTGCATAATGTGAATCATAATGTTACGTAAATTACATGTACACGTAAAATTGAAAGATACGCTCTAACAAGTCCTGTAATATACCGAGAGAAACTCACAATTATATGTGTCAGTGACGTGATCCGTAGCAACATTAACACTTTCTGTTTCGAGACTTGATATGTCCGTCTTTCCTCTAGATTCTCTGAAAAATGAAAATAAGAAAGAATCAATTACTACTACTACTACACTACTACTACTACTACTACTACTACTACTACTACTACTACTACTACTACTACTACTACTACTACCACTACCACTACCACTACTACTACTACTACTACTACTACTACTACTACTACTACTACTACTACTACTACTACTACTACTACTACTACTACTACTACTACTACTATTGCTGCTGCTGCTGCTGCACCTGTTGCTGCTGCTGTTGCTGTTACTACTCATTATCATCATCATCATCATCATCATCATCATCATCATCATCATCATCATCATCATCATCATCATCATCATCATCATCATCATCATCATCTTCATCATCATCATCGTCATCAGTGCCCTATTTTCTTTTCTTTCTTTTTTGCTATATTTTTTCTTTAAATGTATAAATATAATCAATAATACACTCACCAATGAACTCCGTGTGATCCATTATTTAAACATGTTATTCAAGAAAAGTGGCAGTAAATGCGCATATAGCTAGGCTACCATGCGCTTATGGGCGGCTATTCTGCATGAGGCTCAGCTGTCGATTCGCGTCTCGATTTTGCTCCGTCAACTGTTGATCCTTATGCCTACATTCATTCACTCTGGTCAAGAAAACCACAAGGTAAAAAAAAAAAAAGAGAGAGAGAGAGAGAGAGAGAGAGAGAGAGAGAGAGAGAGAGAGAAATTTATTGTTATTATTCTTATCACAGCGGATTCCACCCTAACAAACCTCCATCTTAGTCTATTGTATCCAACTCCTCTTTAATAATGGTACGAATTGAATTGCATGCAGCACAGAACCTAATTAATCGTTTCTTCAGAAAGATTAATAATATTATTTATGACTATTAAGGCCATAGACTTGTTCGTGGTTTAATCGGATATGCGTGTGGGAAAGAGAGTTTACTGATATGATTGCAATGTTCTCAGTGATATTTCTAGATATTAGATCTCACCAATGGGCTTCATAGTTCACTTAATCACTTAATAAGCTGCAAAGCTTTTAAACTTAGAAGAGTATGGGCGTAGGCAAAAATGAGAATATTCAAAACGATAACATGAAAAAAGAGAGAAAAAATATGGACAGACCCCCGCTTCCCCATCTACTCTGCCACTTACACTCACAGACACACGCACGCACAAAACCCATTTTACCTATCACGACGATAATTAATTTAGAACAATGTCAGTTCACATGATATTAACATGGATTGAAAACAAGATCGTCGACTTACTTTTGATAAATACTAAGTGCCAGGCAATTTTGTACTTCGCCAGTTCATTGACTGTTTTAACAACAGATACAGATATAGAAAGTTCCAATCACTAAAAGTAGTAAAAGAGCTCTGCTCAAATCCGCTTTGGATTTGTTTGTCTGTCTGTCTGTCCCGTAATGCCTGGTCAATGGTCATCTCACCGTCATGACAAGATCCAAGTCTGTTTTCGCGCGCGCTTCATAAACACAAATTTTGTTTCCAACAGAAATTATACGTGGCATTCATAAAACAATCCAAATCACAAAAGCACGATACTTACTTTTTCCTGCCTTATGGAATTGTCAATGTTTTACATTATGGTCACGCAAACTAGACTATTTACAGAGAGGCTTCCTTCCAAGAAGAAGAAGAAGAAGAAGAAGAAGAAGAAGAAGAAGAAGAAGAAGAAGAACTACTACTACTACAGAAACAGTAACAACAACAACTAAAACTATAGCATGAAAAGAGCCGTAACCTGGCATAAGACTACCAAAGTGTGACCCTCCCGGTCAAAATCAGTCATTTGAAGGACATTTCAAAATAAAGTTAACATATTAATTTCCACCATTTCACTACGTTTTGGGAAAATATGAAGTAAATAAGATAATATTTGACTCGAAAATTGAACTTTTAAGTATGCAAAGTGCGGAAACACGAAAAGCAGAAAACTGGCTCCCAAGTTGAGCGACATGTTTCCATAGCAACAGGGGTCTTAAAACTGAGATAGCGACTTGAAATTTGTTAGTTATCTTGGCTATGCCACTACAAGGTAACACACAGAAGTAGATAACTATTCATTTATAGGAAAAGAGCTTAGGGGCAAAACAAAATTTTAATGAGAATGGTCTTCACGTCAAATGCAACAACGGGTTAGTATTGTAGGCCTTACTAGATACAAGAAACTAAATTTTCAAAGAAGCTGTATGTCAAATTTAACAGTTTCATATGGAAGGCCTATGTCTCCTGTCAATGTTGGTACCATACTTTTACACCTCTCAGTCAACTTTTAAAAAAATGGCAGCTGTTTTAATTTATTATATAATCGAATATTGCTAAATTCGCTAACTATCTGCAACCCCATGTTTGACAGATAATAAAAGAGTACGAAGTGCACCAAACATCTCCACATTAACAGAGTACAATCACTAGAACATAGAAATGGAGCCTAACTTTTTTTCAAAACTGTGAGATTATTACAAATCAGTATTTTATATTGCCTCAAACACGATGATCTGTCGTTATTTCGATTTTAAAAAACACCGAGCGTTGTCCCTGCCTGGCGCCGCACTGTAGGGAACTGAGTGCTCCCCGGAGTTTTGCGACAGGATTGATGCAAAATATTTTCCAAGTCGATGACTTTATTCTAATAGAAAAAGAATTGTTCTTTCTATTGGTACCTTTTTGGTCGGTATTTTACATAAGTCGTGTTAAACATGATCTTTTTTAAAGGCTTTCTATTTAAATGCCAATAGGCAAAAGAATACACCATGGGAAGCCCGTTAATCACGACTCTTTCTTCAAGCATTCCAATGCTTGGGTGTCAGTTTTTGAACCGGCAGACCTCGCATTCCGACCGCGCGGGGCTTCGCTTTCTATGGCTATTCTCTAGCTCCAAATACTTTGAAAAACAAACAAATTACGCTATTGTAACGAAAAAAAACTTAACTTTTTCAAGATGTATAGCATTTGGTGTGTTATAGCGAAAGAGCAAAGAAAAGGGGATCTGGATTACCCCCATTTAACCGAAACCTCGGGCTCGGAAATCCGTGAGTCGGCTTAAGTGCCGTGTTTATGCTTCCTAATTAACGTTTGCAATATCACTATAATCACACGAGCGCACACACACACACACACACACACACACACACACACACACACACACACACACAAACACACACACACACACACACACACACACACACACGCATGCACACACAAATACGCACATACACACACATGTACACAAACATACACACACACACACAACGCCTAGACCGCGTCGGTGGCCTCTTGGTAAGGAGTCCACCTTGGGAGATCTAGGGGAAGATCAATCTTCTACACCCCCTCCCCACACGCACACACTAAAATAATTTTTTTTTTAAAAAGTCAATCGAAGTGTAAAACTGAAAGATCAACAGCCCATAACTGAGCTAATAGGGTATGTTTACACAGTCAGCTGTTTACGTAAACAAGCTTGAAGTGGGCTAGGAGTTATTATTAAACTATTATGAGAACCCTTAGTCGTTCACAGTGATTTTTAGGTGCTTATATTTCAGACCATTCATACTCGAAAATGGGTCTAAATCTAAAAATAGGGGTGAATGATGGACGTTGAAGCAATGTGGTCTATAAATAATCTTACAGCTACACACCAGCAGGTCAAATGTTGGAAAGGATTTGAGGTACAAATTCCTATATATTATCACCCATGCTCACAACAAACCACACACACACTCTTCCAAAATAAATTTTAAAAAAATATATAAGTCGATTATACCTGTTTATTTTTTTATCTAAAATACAGTAGAATACATTAAACTTCCAATAGATCCACCCCGAAAAAATAATGGAAAGTCACTTTTAGCCTTTCGAGCCTCGTAGCGTCAAAATAGCACATTGCGTCTTACGACTGATTATGACCGGGGCGGATAGAGATGTCACAGAACAGTACTCCTAAACATATAACCTCATGTAGTTCCCAGCGCCGTAAAAACAAAAAACAAAATAACCTCTTACCATATTACATTAAACCAGGCCAGAGCAGCCTTGCCCATTACCTGAAACCAACATCCTTCCCCATGAGAGCGACAAGCCCTGGTGGCAGAGAGAGGACGGGCTCCAACACAGGTAGGTTATCTCTGGCTGACGGCCTGTGGACATCTGCTGACCGATGGACCGTGTCCGCAAGCTCCCTCATGGCTCGGTCCCGCTGAAGGGCGGCCAGTAATCGCCAACCTTCGAACAGACTGTAGAACTCACCAGCCACGTAGACCTTGACGAAATTAGCAATAAACAAAAGTTGTCTGGTTAGGGGTAGAATAAATTTATGTATATCCTAAACACGTTTGGCTAAGTAGAGATTAATAATGCTTTAAGCCCTTTCAGAGTACAATATTTTTGATAATATATGTATAAAATATAAAATAGTGCATGCCCTGCCCCTCTGGATTTCAGGTCATTTGACGTGCCATTCTTAAGCAGATGAAAATTGCCGTAGATGTGTTAACATTGTGGGGAAAATTAGTTAATTCTTTATCTTTTTAAATACATATTTTAAGCAGATTGTATTGGTCTCTTTCTAATGAGAAATATCTCTCAAAACTCTTCCTGCAAGGTGCATATTCATCGAATGCCTGTCAGCCCATGATGCAAAGTAGAAAACGAATGGTAAAATATTTAGATTTGTATGACTTAAACTGCAAAGGAAACCTAAAAATCAGAAAATTGCTTTGCTTTAAAATAACAGGAGTGTACACGACTCTAGTCGACTTATAGCACTTATCTTTCTATGCTTGGTTTATGTTACAGGAAAAACTTTTTTGGTTTTTATTTGAGTAGCATGTAAAATGCCAGAGCAAAAATTGCCAAGTCTTTATGGAAGTGATATGCTCAATGCTCTAGAGACAAAAAATGGTGCCGGAGACATCGACATAATAATTTTCGACTTTTGTCCTCGCAGATTGCGTACTGAAGCTTAGTTACACGTCTTTACATTTGAAAGTTCAGTCAGTTGTTTAAAATAATCAAAACCTTAGTTACACAGTGCTGATTTACCTGGAAAAGTTGATCAGACACAAAATGGTGCTATAGATAAACAATTATCATTTTATATACATCTACTTCATTTTGATGGAAGGGAAAGACAATATCGCACGTTTCTTCCCCCCCCCCCAATCCCTTTCTTTTTACTAGTGATTTATTGTGCAGTGGAAGGAAAGGTTTTGGTTTTTTAAAAATAATATATGATTTATGTACCTAATTAAGTTTAGAATGAAGAGAAGAATCAAAATTGAAATTGTGTGATATGTGTGACCTGCTGAACTCCAATTCACAGATATGCTCAAGGTTGTGTCCTGGGGCCCCATTTTTTTCCAGAAGCAAGAGAACCCATAACTGAATAGCAAGAAGTTCCAGCAAAAAATGATAAGTTATACATAACGTACTCTATGTGGAACGACGAAGAGCGGTGTCGCTTTGGGTGTCGCAGAGCGTCTCCTCAGATCATGGCGCTTTCTGAGGCACGTCAAAGTGTTGCACATCAATGGTCTGTCTGCAGAGTTTGTAAGGGAGGGATTCTTCGTCCTAATATGATAAGAACGAACAGTTTTGTCCTCGGGGGAACGGGACGCCTTTGAAGTGGTAGCTCTTTTGTACTCATGAGCATTAATGCCATCTTCACTTTGATCGTTGTCTCGCTCATGGCGCCCTCTTAAAGTGTTTGGATAGTCCAGGTCTTCAATGAAAGATTGTCTTTGACTTTTTTTGACATTAGGTGCGATGACTTTTTGGCGTGATTTGTCTGTTTTGAGAACTCCACGGCTGTGATTACTTGAGAGTGCCCAAGGTGTAGGTGGAATCCCTTGCTTGTCATATGTCAACCATTCTTCTGAAGGACCTGTTTGAAAAAGATGCTTCTCATGTTGACATACAAAACTATCAATCTGTTCCTTGTTGTACTGCTCCGTATTCAACGATTTTGGAAGACCAAAACATTCCCAGGTCCTTTTTCGAAGTTTATTTAAATGCCAGAAACCAGCGCCATCCTTCTTTCTATGGAGGCCGTTCTCAAATTTTTCCTGAATGTTGACGACTGTCTTTGATTGGGCACTTCTTTTATGGACAGATTGCTTGTTAAATTTAAAACTTCTGAGCTCAGCCTTCAGAGTCTCCTGTAGTTCTAACTCTGATAACGAAGACAAATCATTTTGTTCCCGATCTAGGTTTGGCGAAGCTGAAGTACTTGATTCCTTCTCTGATTGTTGATCCGGTACTGACCGTGCTCTTGAGAGATCGCGATGACCGTTTTTGCCAACTGCAGAGGATAGGGACATGTTCGCACTAAGCATAGTGGGAAAAGGTTACAATTAGCAAAGGTGAAGTTAAAATAAAGACAGGAAAGGCTAGACAACAGACACACACAAGCGCCAGATGAAGAAAACACAACCCTTCAGTGAATTCTCCCAACTACACAATCATGGATTGTCACATTTCAGAAGACATCACAGTAATAACGTAGTCTCCTTTGGCTATGCGCTTTCCTTATCCTCTCTCCCAATCTCACTCAAATACTCAAACCTCTATTTACACCCCTCTGCCCCCAACAAATCGATCAACATACTGCTGACTGCATGGAATAAAAGTAGCGCCCCTCACCCTTCCCCTGCAGTCTTCTGTGTGTGTATCTTTTAATCTCCTCTCTCTCTCTTTCTCTCCCTCCTCCCTCTCTCTACCCCCCCC